ATTCTTCTGAGTCATTCCTGAGAAAGGCTTTGCATCACTGCTCCACTGAAACATAATGATCTTCTGATGCCTCGTTCCTTCAAAGGAAGCATCTTTAATTGGAGAAAGTAGGAGAAAACACAATTGGGCCAAGTTTCCTCAGAGGACCTTAAACTGCTTTTCACAGCTCATTTATAAGTTTGTCTCTTCCCCTACCCTTTCCAAGACCCTCATAAATATACATGCATGTCACTTTTCTTTTCGGAAATTAGTCATTTATAAAGAAACCAATTATTTTTACCAAAGCAATCCATAATTGCATTTTAAAAGCTGGTCACTGTTATAGGCAGTGTAATCAAATACAAACATGTGAGAGTATTAGATCATTTGTCCAGGATACTGACTGTTAGTGGTCAAGTTGAGCAAAGAATCTGATGTGCTTCCAGGACTATCAACTGAAAACTGCTCATATCTTGGGGCACCTGGGTGGCTCAGTAGGTTAAGCTTCTGCCTTCGGCTCAGGTCATGATCTCAGGGTCCTGGGAACGAGCCCCACATCGGGCTCTTGGCTCAGCAGGGAGCCTGCTTCACCCTCTCCCTCTGCCTGCCTCTCTGCCTACTTGTGATCTCTGTCTGTCAAATAAATAAATAAAATCTTAAAAAAAAAAAAAAAGAAAACTCATGTCTTAAAAAAAAATAAATAAAATCAAGTTCTATATGTCAAACCAAACTCCCTAACACAGAATTCAGGCTACAGTCATCTCTCACCAAGACCAATTCCATACAGCCTCCTAAGGTCACCCTAAATCTCCTACACTCACAGTCAACTCTCCACACGTGACCTATTACTATTTAAATCACAATGCGTCACTCCCATTTTGTCAGTTACATCAAGATTAAAAACCTACCATGGCCTACAGGACTCTAGGTAATGATCTGATTCCTGGCTACCTCCAAAAGTCTCATTTCCACCTTTTCCCTTGCATTTTCATGGCTTCCTTGCTAAATTTTTCTATTTCAATTTACAAAACATGTTGCCATCCTGGGCTCTTGCATTGCCTGGAATGCACTTCTCCAAGATACTTGATTGCCTAGCTCTCTCTTATTTCATGAAATTATCTAATCAATGTCACCTTTCAAAAAAGACTTTTCTGATCATTTTCATCATACCCTATCCCCCAATTCTGCATTAGTTTTTCTTCCTAGCATTTATCACTCACTGACATAATACACATGTTTATTATCTCTCTCTCTCTCTCACACTAGAATATAAACTCCCATTAGGGCAAAGATATTGTGTGTTCATCACTAAAGTCCCAATACCAAGAACATTGCCAGAAACAAAATATTAAATCAGTAAATTTACTTATAAATTAAAATTCTAAGTCATGTTTTAGTTCATAACTTTTGATGTTTATTCATGATCCATCTCCCCCTCCTTCTAAAATAGTTTCTCTTTTGAAATGCTATCCCTTTAGAAAGGCTATCCCTTACCAGTTGAATATAAACTCAGTAAAACTATCAATAAAAGTGCACACTGCCCCTTCAGTATTTATCCAAGGGGTGGGTACAAAACCAAACTACAACAATCTGACTTCTTATCACTGAACTAAAGTGTGAACCTAAAAACTCCCAATCAAAAATACTCGTAGCTGAATGAGTCCAGTGTTGTATATTTTTTAAGATTTTTTTTTTATTTATTTGTGTGAGCGAGAAAGAGAGCACAAGCTGGGGGAGGGACAGAGGGAAAGGAACAAGAACACTCCCCACTGAGCAAAGGAGCCCACTAGGGGGCTCAATCCCAGGACTCCAAGGTCATGACCTGAGCCAAAGACAGACGCTTAATTGACTGAGCCACTAGGTGCCCCAAGTCCAGTGTTGTATCTCGAGGAGACATTCAGAGGTGCTCTAGCTCATATCATCTCCAGTATCTCATAGTTCTTCTATTTGGGGAGCTACCCAATATTCTTCTATAGGTTTCCTGTCTTTCCCCATCTTTTGTTTGTTTGTTTGTTTGTTTTAAACCAGAATCGATTTCTGTTGGTTAAAATCCAAAATCTTAACTAATAAACATTATAGGCTTATATTCAATCCAATACGCCTTAAAACAAAAAATTTAACAGAAAGTCTCCCAACTTTTTTTTCTATCTCTCATCTTTCCCTCTCAGTCTGTTCTTCACACACACATTTCCTAATTACACAGCATCTTTTAGTTACTCAAACCCCCACCTCGCTAAAGACATCTAGACTTGCAATTTCTAATGATTTTAATGTTTCAAAATCATTTATCCTTCCTCTCACACAGCACTGTTTACGCAAAGCTGCTGAATTAAAATGGAAGGTAAGTAATCAATATGATTAAACCAAATCTCACCAAGTTACCAATAAGCAATAGCTTCTTCTTTTTGAGAGAGAGAGAGTGTGTGTGAGCATGCATATGGGGGATGATGTTTAAGAGGGGCAGAGAGAGAGAGGGAGAGAGAGAGAATCCTCAAGCAGCCTCCACACTCAGAATAAAGAGCCCAATAAGAGGCTTGATTCCAACCTCCCAAGATCATGATCCCAGCCAAAATCACAAGTCAGATGCTCAACCAATAGAGCCACCCAGGTACCCCTAAGCAACAGCTTTTTAATCTTCCCATGCATATTTGCATTTCTTTAAAAAGAGGCTGCTATTACTCAAAATTTATTTGTTAAAATTTTAGTCAGGATAACAAACTGAAGAATTTTAGAAAGTAGATAGCTACTTTTAAAAATGTGTTAAATCACATCAGGAAGGAAGCCCATCAATCTGATCATGGTTCAGTTAGAGATAAAGTGGGCTACAGAGATGACAACTTATCCATCAATAAACAGAATTTTAGTTAAAGTACTTTATCTGAGTACATAAAGCACACAGCCCCACTACAAATGTGATTGAGTCACAGAGACTTCTGATGTTACTAAATATGGCTAACATACCCTAAGACCCTCCACTCATCCCCTGTACCTGAGTTTTTAGGGATGGGGGCAAAACCAACATTCATTTCTAACCAATATAATATGACAAAGGTGATGGGATATACATGTCCTTGATTAAGTTATATAAAAATTCATCTTAGCAGAATAGGAGAAAGAGAGAATCTCCCTTGCTGGCTTTTGAATATGTAAGCTTCCATGTTATAGGAAGGTCTGAGGAATGGTGATTCAGCAAGGATCTGCGGGTCTTTAGGAGATGAAATGGGTGCCTATCTGAGAGGCAGGAAGGAAGTAGAGACCTCAGCCCTACAACTAACTACAAGGAGCAAATTCTGCCAACACTTATTAGCTTGGAAGAGGACCTCATGCTCCAGAAAATAATGTAGCTCCACAAATACCTTAATTGAAACCTTGTGAGAGTTGCTGGAGTTGGGGGGTGGGGGTGGCAGAATGGATGGGATGGCTGGGTGATGGAAGTTGGGGAGGATATGTGTTGTGGAGAGTGCTACGTATTATGTAAATCTAATGAATCACAGACCTGTACCTCTGAAACAAATAGTACATTATATGTTAATAAAAAAAAAGAAACCTTTTGAGATATGAGCAGAGGACCCAACAAAGCCTTGCCCAGAAAGATGATAAATGCATGTTGTTTTAAATCACTATGTTTATGATAATCTCTTATACAGTAATGGAAAGTGAATACACTAGTGCACCAAGAAGACAAGAAGATAAAAACATGTCTGCAGAAGAATAAATATAGATTATGGACTAAGCACATGCACTGCTCTTTTACTGACTAGTTTATTATATCCACTTCAAAGCACTAATATGAGGATGAATCAGAATTTTTATGTATAAAAATTAAAGGCTTTGTGAACATTAAACATAAAAGTGAGTTCCCCTCTCATATACTCTGCCCTTGTAACTCAGTGAGTGACACAGTCCCACCCACTGGCAGCTGTCAAAACCTGCTACCTTCATTTTGAAAAGTCATACGTGGCCAATTCTGAGCCACTGCAAGTAGGAGCTTGGAGTACTTCAAGATCTCCTCTACCTACCCACACTTTCTCTCACATGTGAGTGAGGGAGTGGGTTCTGGAAATTGCCACTCTCCCAACATCTACTGTCTAGGGTATTTGTAGATTTACTGTTAAGTGGACTTCATGGAGGACCACTTAAGGATGCGGCGGTAGATTCTTTGTCTATTCCATCTTCTGTTTGGATAGCCTTCTACCATGGCTCCTGCTCAGTCTTGCTAACATAGTACTGGGTTTTTATCCATTTCTAATTTCTATCCTACCTTCAGCCTACATTTACTTCTTAGGATTTTAACACCTTGCCAGAGAACCGTGTCACTTGAGCTCCTCCTGCATTTTAGACAGAACCTATGTCATCTGGGAAGTGCCGCTTTGTTATTTTCAGAAAGACAGAGATTACCCCACTGAAAATCCTGCAGCCCAGCACAATCTGAAATCAGCAGTGAGTGATTCACGGGTTTCCAGACACTTAAAATATTTAATCCAATGCAATTTTTGTCAACATTATGGTTTAATGGAATGCAAGTGACTATAGCTCCAGTAACTTTCAGTGCTTTAGTGATTTTCTACCAAAGTATATATTTAGCATAATCACTAACTCATTCTCATTAAATTTTCTATTTCTGCAGCTTACCAGTTTAATTATACCCCTGTATGACAGGTGGTTATTATTTCCTTCTCTATAATTCCCTCATAACTCCCTTCTTATAGTATTTGCTGTGTCTATTTCACTGATGTTGTTCTAAGTAAAAGTATCAGAAATGTGACTATTCTCAAATTTCCTGGAAGTTCTGACCATATTTTCTCAAATTTGCAGTGTTAATTTTTTTTTTCAGATAGGCTCCATGCTGGGCATGAATTCAGGACCATGAGTTCAAAATCTGAGCTGAAATCAAGAGTCAGCCATTTAACTGACTGAGCCACCCAGGTGCCCCTGCAATGAAAATTTTGAGGAAGAGTGCTTCTAGTATAGAATTCTTAGTGTATTCATCCAAACATAAATGCCAGATTTTTGGTTTCTCATTCCATGCTACTGGTTTTTATTTTGGGCACAATTCTAGTCTTGACACTTTCTCTTCATTTTATTCTATTATCACAGTTTCTTCTCATCTTCATTTCAACTTTAATTTTACTCACAAATGCAATACCAACCCTGGAAACCAGCCTCCACCTAAATTTAAGCCCTCCTTTCTCCTTCTCCTCCCCTTCCTTCAGGAAGGTGTCCCAATCATAGTACAATGTCTTCCAAGAAATTAAAAAGAATATGAGGTAAGTTTATCTTAAAGCCTCTGTGATGGGGAAGATAGTTTAAATGCTGTGAAGAGCTGACAAGTAACCATAAACTGATGAAATCTTAAACATAATTTTGATTTAACACAATCAGTAAATAACACCTATTTTGCTTGCAACATAAAATTAAAATGTGCCACAGTTGGATATATTACCAATATATCCATGATATGCCTTGAAGATGGAATTGATGAAGACTCCATTCATCTAGAAAGAGTCTTCAGTATTTCTACCTCTCCTGAATCAATCACTAATGGTAGAATACAATTAAAGCACACTTACCCGAAAGCAGTTAACTTAAAAAAAAAAAAGTAGAGCTATTCAAAACTATTATTCAACTACAAGAAGTAATATATTAAAAATACTTACAATTTCTTTAAAATATCCAGGAATTCTACAAACTCTTCTTCAAATTTTTTGGGCTCATATAAAGTAAGACCACCATGTGCTATTTTAACATGGATAGCTATATTGTGAGAATCATCACGTTTTTGGGGTTCATATTCTACTGTGTCTTCGATAGATTTTCTGAACAAAGGAACATAACAGATTATGGTGTTGCATATTGTACAAAATGATTGACATGAACTCCTTACTGTCAAGACTAGAAAGGCACTGTTGTAAGATAATTTGGCATTTTAATAGTGTATGCCTTTTCAGTGCCTTACTTTTTTCCCCCAATCATCAGTAGTACAGTTAAATACATCATCTTGTTAAGCCTCAACACTGACATACATAAAATATTTTCTACATACAGAACTTGGTTATACATATTATAACTGTCTTAAGTGATTGGAACATGTTTTGTAACTAAGTGTACATACCTTAAGGAAATATTTGAAGTCAATGGTTAACATCCTTGTCTTTATAGCTATATACTTGTTTTTTGGTGTACACTTAATACCAACAATAAAAGTGCTTTTTAAAAACTTTTGTTTCCAACTGCTAAATTATGAACATCTTGAAAGCAGCCATTTTTCTTTATTCTTATGCTACAGTATGTCATACATCCAAGTCCCCAGGAGATGTATAACTGAATGACCATTCTCCATTCATTTTTTAGCTCCACGCATTCCTATCAAAAAGTCACTAAAAACCTAAGAGCAAAAACTAACAAATGCTGTCTATCCTTAAGAAAAAAACAATGTGCAGGAGATGATAAAAGCCAAAATTATCATAGATTACTGACCTATATTATATATAAGAGAATATAAAAATCATACTTAAATATAAGATAAACATTAATTGGAATAATAACAGTAAATAATCACATTAATGTCTAATGCATACTTGAGTTTTTATGCTAGTTGTTTTGCTAAACATTATATACCCATATCAATATTAACTATGTGAAATAAGCAATATTATCCCTTATTGATATGATAAGGACATTTCAGGTTAAAGGGTTTATATAATTTCTCTTACCACTCATAACTAGTAGAGCTAGAGTTTCTGTAATAGCTCTAAAGTTTGCAGATGTTAAAATATCAGTAGTAAAACTTACTTACTTGATGTATACAGAAATGAGATAGCCCAGCTTACTCAAATAACTTACAAAGATAAAATTAAAAGCCAAAATCCATTTCTCTTCCATTCCTTTTACAGAACCTCAACCATTCCTGCAGACCTGGAACACCACTTAAAACTCTATCCCTAGTTACTACCATAAATAGTAAGCACAGTAAAACTTAACAATGATAAGAATTCAGGTACAAAGCAATTGGCTTTCCTCCACCCAGCCTGGATGCTAAAATGCAAATAGAATGAAGTTTTTATATTCTGGAGAAGAGCGGTCCATGGACTAGAGGAAAAGTGGGAGGTAGATATGGCCGACTTTGTGGCAGGAATGTGGGAAGTGAGTCTGCATTGGACTTAGTATTCTTCCAGTCCAAGTTCATCTTATTTGTCTAAGTCACATGACTCCTGATTTCCTACTTTGTGTTGGAAATCTCAAGGCAGCCAAAGGATTCACAATAGTCCCCAGTGATATTTAAGCTTCTTAAAATTAACCAGGAGATACTAAACCAACAAAAGCAACAGGAACAAATAGGTGGCCATACACATTAAGTGATTAATTGATTAAATTGTGCTCTATGCTCTTCAGGAAATGGTAGAAAATTATCCTCACCATTATATAGTAAAACTAGTAATAATGCAATATATATAGTCTAAAAAAATCAGTCATACAAAATGCAAAAATCATTTCATGAGAAGTTAATAAATTGTTCAAGAAGACAAGGCAAGCAGGAGTATGGAAGGCCATGGACATGATTCAGCTCTTTTCTGGAGAGCTATGTTGGTGATCTCAGATTCTGCATCTCTCTATATTCCACAATAACCTGTACCTTTAAATTTTTTAAGCAAAGTTTGATATGGGGTAAAATCTCTGATACTGATGGGTTTAACTTGAAAACTGAATCCTTTGTGTTATTCTCAGGCCTCTAAAGATTTTTTTCACAAAGTCTTAGTCATTATATGCTAAGATTGTGCCAAGATATGCAATATTTGTATAACTATGTTGTGTGTGTGTGTGTGTGTGTGTGTGTGTGTGTGTAAAATACAATGCTTCTGTATCTAATGTGTTTAGGATTCTTTTACCCTCTAATCTAATTTGACAATTCATTGGGATTGTACAGAAAGATTTGTCCCTTTTTTCTCAATGATTAGCTGTTTTACTGCTCTTTTTTCAATTGATCATCTTAAGGATTTTTCAGGCATTAGACTAAAAAGGTATATATAAAACTAATTAGAAAGAAACATACTGCTTTAAGTGGATGTATTTTTTTTAAATTGATAATCAATGAGCTAAGGATCCACCTCAAGAAGTGAGAAAAAAAGAGCAAGGTATATCCAAAATAAGTAGAAGTATAACAATAAAGAAAGAAAAATATCTCTTAAAGCAGAGTAATAAACAATACCAAAACTTGGTTATTTAAAAATCTAATAAACTTGGAAAAACCAGATCTACTGCACTTAGCAAAAAATTGATCAAGAACAAAAAGAGAGAAAGTAGAAATAAATATCAGGAATGAAAAAAGGAGATTTCATCACAGATCTCCGATATAAAACTATCATATTATTGATAATTTCACACCAATAAATCTGAAAGCTTAGAGTGAGATAAATCACTGTAAAAGTGCAAATTACCAAACTGATACAAGAAATAGAAAATTTTAATTGTTCTAAATATTTTAAAGAATATAACTAATAAGGGGCACCTGGGTGACTCAGTCGTTAAGTGTCTACCCTTCGCTTAGGTCATGATCCCCAGGTCCTGGGATTGAGCCCCGTACCCTGCTCAGCAGAAAACCTACTTCTCCCTCTCCAACCCCCACTGCTTGTGTTCCCCTCTCTCACTGTGTCTCTCTCTGTCAAATAAATAAACAAAACCTTAAAAAATATATATATAACTAATAAGTAAAACTTTTTCCGCAAAGAAACTCCTGGTCAAAATGGTCTTAATGATGACGTCAAACTCTTTTTTTTTTTTTTAAGATTTTATTTATTTATTTATCTGACACAGAGAGACATAGCGAGAGAGGGAACACAAGCAGGGGGAGTGGAAGAGGGAGAAAGCAGGCTTCTACTGAGCAGGGAGCCTGATGTGGGGCTCTATCTCAGGACCCTGGGATCATGACCCAAGCCAAAGGCAGACTCTTAACAACTGAGCCACCTAGGTGCTCCAAAACTCTTAATAAATAAAAAAATCCAAACACTTTTAGAAAATACAAAAGATAGTTATACTTTCCAGCTAGTTTTAGGAAGCCAACATAGCCTAAATATCAACACCTGGCAAGGATATTACAAGAAAAGAAAAAACAAGCCAATATCACAATATAGATGCAAAAATTCTAAGCAAAATACTAATAAACAGAATCCAGTAATAATTTTAAAAGAAAGTAAAGCATAGCCTAGTTGAGACTATACCAGGAATATTATTTCAGGTATGTAATTCAATACATTAATGGAATAAGAAAAATTATGATTATCTAAACATTTCATATGATCTAATATTTATGTGTAATATAAAATCCTACAAAACTAGAAATAATGAACTTTCTTAATATGACAAAAGTATTTTAAAAATACAACAAATATTATACTTAAACTAAAATTTAAAAAACTTTGCCTCTGGAATTAGAAATAAGGCATTTATCCTGCTCTAACCTATTCAATACAATAATGGAGGTCTTAGGCATTAAAATACAAGTAAAAAGTTTAAGAACCAGAATGTATCAGTAAAACTGTTATTTTTTTTGTCAGATGACATTATAATTATTAATGACATTATTATTAATGACATGGCATTATCACTATTCTAGTATCTACAAATTTCATAAGAGAACTTAGTGAGGTTGCTAGGTAAAAGTTCATTAGACAAACAATTGTATTTCTGCCTTTATGTTCCTTACTACCTTTTTTTTTCTTAATGCCACTTACTCCATTTTATTGCAATAAAGTCTGTGTATACGTATCTCAGCAGGAAACACATGATATCATCAGTCATCAGTGAGCATGGTTTCAAAAGTCTCCCACATTTCCTCACAAGACACATACTTGGCTTATAATGATGGTCATACACCTACTTAAGATAAGGTCCTATCATGTCTTGGAAAGCCCTACCATGACCAGGACTTCACCCATGCAACTTCTGACGCAACATGTATTATTGGCCATCATTGGACAGGGCCAGCCAGGTATCTCCTGGGCAACAAGGTCTCAGGACAGTCTGGCTTAGCCAATATGTTCCTTGCTACCCAATGCAGGAAGGCACTAATAGTATAATCAGTCTCTAAATATGTTATTGAAAGCTAATAAAAGTGATACAAAGAATTTATATATGTTGTGAAAAACAATTATAGGGTTCTTATAAGAGTGTAAAAATGTATGAAGAGATAATGTCTCTCACAGAGAGTTTTAAACTGAGACATTCAAGATGAAAAGAGTTTAAAAAATATTCCTTTTTTAAACAAGGACGTACAAGGAATTTTCCTGCCAAAGAAATTTCTAAAGATGCTAAATTTGACTCAAAAATATATTGACCATGTCAAATAGACATAGACACTATAAGACAGATTAATATCTTCTAGAAATCTTTCCATATTTTTTGGAATCATTACTTCTAATTATTTCTGAAATAATTTTTACTCAAGGTAAATGATAGGGATGCATGAAATTATCTATAGAATTGGATAGTTAGCATAATGAGCCAGTAATTAGGCAATTCTGTTCATTTCTCTGCTATTAAGTTTTTAAAGTTTTGGCATTTTTTCTATTGATTATTAAGTTAAAAAATACATAATACATTGTACTTTTAAAAATAACAATAAAACAGTGTTAGTGCACCCACTCAGATCTTTATAAAGTACCTGTGGCCCTATACAACTACTTCTCCATGGACAGATGTAGCACTCACTCCAGAGATAAGAACTACCCTGAATTTTGTTCCTTGGTCTTCATTATACAGATTAATTAAAAATGTATGCATCCCTTTAAAACCTTAATTTTAATTTTGCATATTTATTTTT